GAAACACTGCTGTGTTGCTCGGAGACACAAAACAGTTCTGCTGTGGCTTTGATTGAAACTTCGTCAGCAAACTTGAACAAAAACAGTCAATATTGTATTACAAATTGCAAACTTTGTAACTCACAATGAAGAACTTCCACGCCGACGACATGTTTTCATGCGGATGTGAGCGTAAGTGTGCCATCAAAAGAGACCGGCTGTGAGATGAGGTGTGTTCGATTTGAAGCAGCGCAGTGCATACCGATCGGACATCAAAGTACCGTGAGAGCGATTCGAAAGCATGCAGAGCTATCTGCTCTCTGTAGCTCTCACGGTGCTTTGATGTCATAAAGCGATTAGTCTGTGCATTGCTGTTTCAAGTCGAACCGAGAAAGGGACTTTGGTCGACCACACTCCCGTCTACGAGCTTGCAATCTCTCTCTCTCTCTCTCTCTGCCCAGACCCAAATGAACTGAGCCTGTCACTCATCTCAGTTCGGTTCAACGGATGTGTCTGTGATTGGCTACACTGCTCAATGCTGCAAATTTTGTAAATGGAAACATCTGTTCTGATGCTCTCCACAGCGCAAATATGCACAGAAGGTCCGTGTATTTTTTGATAGTTTGTTTTTCAATTTGAAATGAAAAACAAAAAACGATAAAACGGTCATTTAAAAAAAATTTTTTTGTGTTGTTCAAAACCACCCCCCGAGCTCGTGATGTCATCCTCCGTTTGTTCATCAAAATAATAGTCCTCTGCTGCTGTACGGGGCAGGTCCTAGATCGGGCTTTCTTCTGTGCAACCTAACGCGTTTTGCAGAAATATTTATTTCAGAAATTTTAATCAGCACCCAGCCTGTTTTATTTAGTTGTGCGTAGTTAAATATGTATGGTGAATACCCATACCCATACACAGCCCACAGACCCATAGACAGTACAGAACGGATGAGAAGCACAGGTAAAAAAATAAAATAAAATAAAACAGACGTAGGGGGGTCCCCCAGATATTTTTTTAATAAAAAATAAGTGAGACAAATCTGATTAAGCTCACGCAGTTAGGATACGGTACATTTAATTAATTAATAATTTATTTACAGTCATTCAT